TCTAGGATAAGCAGGATCAGAAGACCCCTGAGATTTACACATAAAATGACCAGTTTGAAGAATAACGTATAAGAAGCCCTAACAAATCAGTGAAGGCAAGGGAAAGGGAAGGAAGAATTGCTCATTCTGGTCATAGTCTATAAAGGCCCATCAGGCAAAAGTCTTCTTGTAAAGATAATAGGATAGGTAATATCAAAATTTTACTTTCTAATCAATATACTGAACTCGAATACTTTTACATTTTTTAGTGAATTGTGAAACAATGCCTGTATTTGGAAGCTGAAATTCTATGGTGTTTTACAAATTAATGAAAAACTGCAAGAAATAGAATTTAAAAAAATATATATATTTTATTGATTTTTTTACAGAGAGGAAGGTAGAGAGATAGAGAGTTAGAAACATCGATGAGAGAGAAACACCAATCAGCTGCCTCCTGCACACCTCCTACTGGGGATGTGCCCGCAACCCAGGTACATGCCCTTGACCGGAATCGAACCTGGGACCTTTCAGTCCGCAGACCGACGCTCTATCCACTGAGCCAAACCGGTTTTGGCAAGAAATAGAAATTTTGATAGAGTATAAAATAACTGGACCATGCAAACTTTCCTCACAATTTTCCATTTCTGAATCATTGTCTAAGAAAAGGTGATAAGTTGGTTCTTAAGATCATGGAGAATAAATGAAGAACCACAGAGTAATTTTAGAGTCAACATTTTATTTGGTACTTATTATAAAGCGAAAACCATTAAAGAGTATAAAGAAACAAAACTACATATCATGATTTTAAAATGTTCTGGTTTCTCAATATTCCAACACATATAACTTTACAAATCTCAACATCTTTGAAAGTAAGCTGTAGGCTCTCCCTTTACATCAAAGTGATCACAGCAAAGACACAATGAAAAGTTTAATCAACAGAAGTATCTACCTTTGACATCAATGCAATAATTTCAAATCCATTGTGGGTCAGTGAGAAAAGCTAGAAGATTTTAAAGATATCCTAGTACAGTTTAAACACTCAAGATACCATTAGCACATTAACAAAACAAAAATTATAGACAAGTTAGGGTAATAAGAAATTACTATAGCACTAATCTCATCAGTTACAGACCATTTACAACCACAGGGACCACTGGACTGCATCAAGGAGCTTCAAACATAACATTGCTCTGGTGAAAAAAAAAAATTACAAAGGAGAAGGCAATGCTTTTAAATAATCCTGGAAGGACAACTGAATGGCCAACCCCAGACAAATATCATATTAATCCATTATATAAAATACTATTGACAAAAAGAAAATGAGAGTTCTCAGCTCTTTGCTTGGTATAAGGGGATGTATCACCTGCCTTGAGTGTCCAAAAGGAAAAAGATAAATTAGGAACTGAAAAATACACCTTTCGAACAAGCCACATGGCATAATACAATGCTTTCCAAAGTGTGGTCCACCTGTACATGATATTTTTTCTAAGGACATAAACAAAGTGTATGTATATGTAATCTTTTATTTATGGCTGGTGATACTGTTTTTTTTCTTCTGATAGCAATTTCATTTTTGGTTTTCAATATATGTATCTAACATAAAAAGGGATTATATTTAAAAAGCAAGCAGATCCCCATCATCAACTCTATAGCACAGGTGACTGACTTCCACAACTTTGGTACAAGTGTGGTTTATTTTTTATTTAATCTCTGAGAAAGTCTAAGCAGAGGTGATATTCATACCATATGAAAAAAAAAAGGATTAGTGAATTAGTACAAGCAACACTCAACTGTTTTCCCCTACTCAGCTCCTAGGAGCCAAGCATTCATCCATTAGGCAAGAAGCGAGAGAAGTTTTTTTTAAAAATATGACCAGTATAAGAGGATCCCTAGTTAAAAAGCCCAGAATATAACACTAGTATACTGAAGTCAACCATACCTAATCATGCATTCAAACCAGCCTTTTACCCTCAAAATTTTAAATATGAATAAGCATCCAAAGATTATCAGACATCTGAGAAAAGCTTCTAAAATGAATGACAGAGACAAAAAAAAGTAGCTTGAATCTGACTATATAACAGAGAAAAAACATCAACAACTTAAAAAGAAATAAAATATGATGTTATGAAAAGGTACAGGAAATTTTTAAAAAGCTCTTGAAAATTACAACTATGTTAGAAGAAGTGATGAGTTAATCATAAATTAAAACATTGAAGAAAATCTGCCAGAACTGAAGAACATGAATGTTCCGATTGAATAGGACTGCCAAGGTTCCAGCACAATGTATAAACATACCCACATCAAGACACAACATCATAAATATCAAGAAACTGGGACTTAAGACATTCCATAAACTTTCAGAGAGAAAAATAAATCACAAATGATCAGGAATTAGAATAGTGTTTCACTTTTCCATGGAAATCCTTTCAAAATTCTGAAAAAAATTATTTCCAAACCAAAACTCTGTACCCATTCAACTACAAAACAACTGATAAATAAATTCTCTCTCAGATACATAAGAGCTCAAAACATTTACGATTTCTTAAGAAGTTACTGGAAGTTGTGCTCAAGCAAATCAAGAAAGAATTTAAGACACTGAGCCAGGGAACAGGAAAGCCAACCTAAGAAAAATACCAGGATGATGGCAAAGGAGATCCCAGCTGAGCAACAGGCACTGAATCCAGACTGGAGCAAGTCAAAATGCTCTGAGAGACTTCTTTAAGAAAACACCTGATCATTAAATCCAGCAAGTAGGAAAGGAAGATAAACACAGCTCACTATATGGCTAGATTTATATAGCATTCATATATATAATGGAAATATAAGTATTGAGTAATGGTCTACCAAAATTAAAATATACTATTAGGTTGAAACATATGAAACTGTTGTTTTCATAGATTAAAAATGCATATAGTTAACCTAGTATACTGGGAGCTTAAGGGATGGAAAATGTGTGTGTGTGTGTGTGTGTGTGTGTGTGTGTGTGTTAGGGGCCAGAAAGAGGGATATGATAAGGTAATGCTTTAAACTAAATACACACAAAAAAGTAAAATAGCCCAGTTGGCATGGCTCAGTGGTTGAGTGTCGATCTATGAACCAGGAGGTCATGGTTCCATTCCCTATCAGGGCACATGCCGGGTTGCATCATTGATGTTTCTATTTCTCCCTCTCCCTTACTCTCTGAAATCAATAAAAATATATATTTAAAAAAACAGTAAAATAAGTACTATTTTTGAAAACATGGAAGTAAATATCAAAATAATAGGTAGAAAGAGGCAAAAGTAGTTGCCTCTGAGGAGAGGGACATGGGATTAGAAGGAGATTGAGGACTGTTTATTTGTGTAATTTTTTTTTAATAACTTGTTGAACTATTTGACTTCTTAAACTACTATTTAAGACCTGTAGTAATTATCTGATGATATCTAAACTCAATAAAAAGATTTTTTAAGAAGAAGAAAGAGAGGAAGGGAGGAAGGAAAGAGAGGCAAGGAGAGAGGGACAGGTATGTGTCTTACAGACATTTCAATGTCTCAAGAGGGCACTTTCTGGGGATAGGAATGTGATGGCCACCACATTACTGTAAGAAATAGACACTTCCACGGCCATTCTTCTTCCACAAATGAGACAAAAATCCAACCAGAGTGAGTGTAATTGTTCAACATTTGCTTAATATTCATAGGCTATCTTTTTTAAATTCTATATAATACTGTCCTAACTAATTGTTCTCCACTTACTCTTTGGGCAACATGTCATGAGCACCCTTTCCTGGAAAATGTTCAGCATCCAGAAATTAGTGATGACATCAATAATACCCGAGGCTTTTAAAGCACCATTTTGAGTAGACTCATTTTTTAATGGTGAAAAATAAAGATAAGAAAGGTAAGAAACACAATTAATAGATTGAATCATATGAAACTGTTGGCTTTATAGATCACAATTACATATAGTTCAACTAATACTGTAAGTGTAAGAGTGTGTGTGTGTGTGTGTGTGTGTGTGTGTGTGTGTATGATAGAGACCAGAAAGAGGGTGTGCTAAAAATAAAACTTCAGATGTCTATTAATCCTGACTCAAAGAACCTTCTTGATTCTAGCACTCTCCCTGCCACACCAACTTCTATCTTGTGAAAAATATAACCTTGAATCCCTCTATCTATCATTTAAGACAAGATATCCCTCTCCCTAACTACTTGTTTATAATTGTAAGAGCAACATTTGCTAAAGATTCTCCTTGATACGAAGAAATTATGAGAAAATCTCAAATTTCAACATACTCTGTGACATAATCTTTCTCACTTATTTTCTCGCCACTCTTTAGAAGAAATGACAGGCCAATGTGTTCACAACCCACATGCAGAACTATTTATTAGCTGGCATGAATAGCATTATTTTGTCAGTATCTTTCCAAAACAAGCCAAGTGTCAAGTATGAATAAGCCCTGTAGTAAACATGTGATGAGGAATTCATTCTCAATTTTTAAAATGGAATGAATCAGACCTCCAGACCTTTAAGATAATTTAATTTTCATTAAAAAGTATTTATCAGTCACCCAGGCATTTTCTAAAATATCACAAAGGCAAAATCTCTGCCTACAAGGTACATCCATCTTCTCCTTTATTAAGTACTGCTGTGAGGCAATTACAGAAAAACATGATTGCTGACATTTCAATATGAAAAAATAGGAATTTGTGATAAAGAACAGCGAGGGGAGGAGACTAAAATCTCTTTAGGGTGGTCAAGTCAGAAACAAATGTTCTCTTTAAGATTTAAGAGGCTCTTTCAGAATAGGAATTATAGTTTGAGTATTGACTGTGGTATCCCTACAGTCTAGCAAAAAAGAATCTAGAATATCCAGGAAGTGCTCAAGAAACATGTGCTGAATTAACCGATGAACTGAACTAGGCCTATCTTAGCACCCACTGTGCCAGAAAGGACAACCCAAATCATTTTTGAACACAGTCATGTTGAAGGGTCTGCACAATGAAAGGCACAGCATCTGCTCTGACAACAGCAGCTCCTTACCTGTTGCTGTACTGGTACTTGCTGTACCACCTGTGTAGGCACTGCTGCTTGACTAGCCACAGATGTCTGTAAAGTCACTGTCGAACCTGTGTCCGACCCAGTCTCTGATGTCTGCATGATGGTCTCTGAAATATATTAAAATAGAAATAAAGTTTAAAATGCTCTCTTTGCATGACTAGAAGCATTACATTTGCTAGCAGCATTATTGAGATTAACTTTCAACTCTCTGAAAACTTCTTACCCCAACATACTGTCATGATAGTCCATGCATACTTATAGTTATTTTGACTACTTTTTAAATACAGAAAATTACTAATCCCAGTACCTTCCTTAGTTAGGGCTCATCTGTTATAAAGTGTTTCAACTATTTATAAACTATAGCCCAAAATTAAGTCAAGATACTCAATACTCAAGTCTCAGAACATAAATCTTAACTGTATGCAAATATGTTACAAACCATACTTTCTAAACCCTTTTATAGATTATTAGGACGTCACCAAAGGTGTACAATTTAGGAAAAACTACTTACAAGGTCCTTCCCAACTTTTAAACTTGCTATTCACTGATCTAAAAAAAATTAGTATATATCCAAAAACCAAGTGATATACCCTAAACTTAGCCGAATCACCAACCTAATTAATTTTCTCATCCTGTGATCTGATATGGTACTAAAATCAAAGTTTAATTATATACAAACATCAATTTGAAAGATAGGTAAGACAACTATTACATAAATGAGATTTGTAAACAAAGACCTGAAAATATTATCTTTGTCATTCACAATTCAAAACAGCACATTTTTCAGTTCTCACTTGTCTGACCTACTAACACAGGGTTAAATTTTACAGCATGTATGCTAACAAGTGTGGTTTCTCAGACTTCCTGGCCTTGGCATTCCCTTGTGCTACTTATATAGACAAAAGATTAAATATTCATTTCTTTGCTATTGAGCAGGAACAAAAATTCTAATTTTCTTTCTGGGGAGTGGGGGGAAGGGGGAGACAAACAATATTTAATTGGTAGCCTAGGAAAAATACTGCATTATGGTTTAAATCTGTGAACAATATGGTGAACATTAATTTTCCCTAAGAAAATTCTGAAAGCATATTCAGTTCTTTCAAGTAGAAAATTAACCCCTCTCAGCATCTTTTGTTACAGCATGACCTCTTCCAAATTTCCCCCCAAATCTTTTCTATCATCTCATTCAGTTTTACAAATGGACCTCTGAAGACATCTAATCTACTCTTCTTACTTTATAAATGAGGAAACAAAACCCAAAGAGGTTAACAGATTCATTCAGGTGACAGGAATAGATGTGGGATTAGGCCTCTTTACTTTGAATCCGTGCTTGCTTTTCTTTCTAGACCTTGACATTGGCATCACTTCAGGTAATTATTCTTATTCTTTTGTTAGTCAAAACCCTAAAGCAGCACAATAAACCTTAGCACATACAAAAGATATAGCAGCAACAGCTAACACTGACTGCGTGTTTAACATGTGCTAAGGAATCTTCTAAATGGTTTACATGTTAATTCTTAAATAAATTAACCCATGTAACAATCCAATATTGCTGGTATGACTATAATCTCCATTTACAGATGAGGAACCTCAGGCACAGAGTGCAGGTGCCTAGGAACTTCAACAGAAGGAATGATAGAGACTATGGCTACCACCCCATTTATTTGCATCATCTAATGTTCAGCTCCAAAAAAAGAAGCTAAAAATTCAAAATCCAGCATCCTTTGATTCATTCCATACTTATAGGCTATCTATGCCATTTGTGCTACAGCAGAGGCGCTATTAGTGAGAGTAAAGTGATGTCTTTCTGTAGGGAATGAGGAATGAACCAGATGTTAGATATTATCTTTAGTCCCACCTCCCAAATGCAAGACAGGCTGTGGCCTTTGTCAGAGCAGTATACAAAAGAGGAAGACAGGGTTGTCAATTATGAGTTTCTTACAGTAAAGTACTCTCATTAAAATTCTCTCCTATTTTTACCAATGCTGGCTGGGAGCTTAATCTAGGTTCTCTCATGTGTCTGTACTATGTTGTATTACAGACCAGCCTACACAGCCATTTTTGGTATATGACCCATACTTTGACATCCAGTATTTTAGACCAAACATAAGAATCCTATATAATAAAAGGCTAATATGCAAAGTGTCCCCTCAACCGGGGGGAGTTCAACTGGGAGTGTGACTAGGGGGTGGGGCTAGCAGCCAACTGCCTGCGGACCCAACCCCCCAGCTGGCCCCGCCCCTGATAGGCCCATCTCTCTCTGATTGGGGCAGGCCAGCCGGCCAATCCCCATCCCCACCAACCTGGCCTGATCAGCCCCAATTGGGGCTGGCTGGCCAGACCCTACCTATGCATGAATTCATGCACCAGGCCTCTAGTAAGAATATAAAGAATGGAGGCCTCTTTAAAAATTAAAACGTACTTTTAAAGCAATTCTTAAGGGTTCTTAATAAAGCACCATGGAGAGCTTATCTAACAAAAGCCCAGTGATCAAACGGCAGAACGACCAGAACGACCACTACGACCAGTAACTATGATGTGCACTGACCACCAAGGGGCAGACCCTCAATGCGGGAGCTGCCCCCTGGTGGTCAGTGTGCTACCACAGTGGGAGTGCTGCTCAGCTGACCAGGATGAGCAGCTGGTCCCATTGCGAACCCCGGGCGGACAGGCAGGAACCTCCTCGCCCCAAGCTCCTCTTCTTCCTTGCTCCCTGCCACCTTTTCCGGACGCCTACAGGCTACACAGCACTGCCGCGAGCTCAGAGTTGACCCCAAAGGCTGGGAGGCGGGTTTGTGGCTGCTGCGGGACTGAGGCCTACTCTGCTGCCTCTCAATGCTATTATCCCTGAGCCCGGCCCCAACCGGGTCCTCTGGAGAGGTGAGTGCTCCGACTCCATGGAAGATGCCGGACCAGGGAGCAGCTGCTCAGAGGGCAGGTCCACAGCCGCTTGGCTGACCGGGATGAGCTGCACTCCCACAGCGGACCAAACCCCACAGGCCATGCCCCCCACCAGTGCATGAATCCTATGCACCAGGCCTCTAGTCACAAGATAAAAGGCACAGATTAGGAAATCAGCATCCTATGGACTATATTAGACTCCATAAGTAGGCTTTTACTCAGTTACTACAAGTTAAAATTTTTAATTGCCAACATTTAAAAATCAGAAAACTTTGCATTAAAAAACAAATTTCCAGATTCTCTTGAAAAATCTGAAAATGTAGAAAAGGAAAACCTATATTATGTGTTTTATAGGCAAATTATTTAAATGGTGCAATTCATTCACTTGCCTGGCCTCGATAGGAATTTGAGTTCATGAAACCTTTTGGGGTGACCTGAAACTTAGTCCTATAAATCCAGACTGAAAATTACTTTCTGGGTTTAAGACAAAACTGATAACATTTATACTGGTTTACTTCTTTTGTACAAAAGAGAAATACTCACACTTTGGCCACTTTACTAACAGAAATGTGTTACTAAATGATTGGAACTATAATTTTTCTGATTTTACAGATGAGTCAACTGAGGCCTCAGAGATGGTAAGTCACTTAATCAAAGTCAAACAAACGGAAGTAAAAAGGAGGGTTTGGACATAACACTAAAGCTCATTCACTAAACTACTAGACCAAGATGGAGTTTTATAATAGACACTGCACAGAAAGAAGTGAAGCAAGCAAGCTGGTGAACTTTTAGAGTGAAAAAGGGTAAGGACCCCAACTGTTCAATAGAAGCAACCTTTACTGAACGGAGTGGGAAAATAAGAGGGATAGAAAATGAAGTCATATGTAACTTAGAGCGTCACAGAGAACTTTCCATCCAGCCTTTGGCTCTAAGTATACACCACATCAAAACGGTGGTATAACCCAGCCATAACAGGTTTGGCTCAGTGGATAGAGCGTTGGCCTGCAGGCCGAAAGGTCCTGGGTTCGATTCTGGTCAAGGGCATGTACCTTGGTTGCGGGCACATCTCCAGTAGGGAATGTGCAAGAGGCAGCTGATTGATGTTTCTAACTCTCTATCCCTCTCCCTTCTGCTCTGTAAAAAATCAATAAAATATATTTTAAAAAAACAAAAACAAAAAAACAACAACTGTGGTATAATGCAGAACCAAATAATTGTTCCAGATCATCTTCTGTTTACTCTCAGGTTACTGATCATCCTCTAATCTTCTTGGCTCCTGGATTATAGTCATGCTAATTTACAAACTTGACTCTCAGTTCTGTCTTCATTTTTCCTTAATAGACCAACTTCATTATCTTCTGATTTCATTGTCTTCCTCGACATTAAGAAAGAGGCTCTTTTTGCCTAGGCCTCATGCGTTGAGAGGGTCTCAATCACATCCCTTACAGAGATTGCCTCAAAAAGTCCTACCATAATTAGTTCTCTCATTTAGCAAGTCTTTTCCAGGTATCACACAATATGTTAAGTGCTTGAAGTACTTATTATTTTATCCTCAGAAGACCCCCAGTAAGGGAAATGTTATTTCCACTTAATGAATGAGGAAACTGAGGCACAAATGGATTCAATATCTTGCTAAAAGCCACACTGTTTTTTAGGAGAAGAGCCTGAATTCAAACCTAGGTTTTCAGAACTCCAACACTCATGATGTTACCAATACGTATATTTACTTTGCCATATCATGACAAGGGTTCCAAATGAAAAGCTAGCTAAAGACTGTTGGTCAGAAAAGCAAAGTTTTGAGGATTTTCAATCAACTGTATTTGATCTGTATTTCCAATAACAATGGATAGACATTGAATTACGAACTATTCTCTCTTTCTACTGAGGCCATAATAAAACTCAACTGATAAGTATTTTTCCAGAGGCATTCTAACTGACTAATTCTGAAGACCTAATTTAACAGCAGATCAATTAGAGAATGTTAAAGTATGTTTGAGGAATATAACCCTCCTGCCAAATTTTGCTCAACAGATCATTTAAACCCACTGACACATTCAGAGTATTCTGGTAGCTTTCCCACATTTCTGTAGAGCCAGGATCATCACATGAGGGTAGTGTCTTAGCATGCGTTACTTGTAGGTTTTGTTTTAGACTCAGCATAAAGGTTTGTGTACACATTTGAAGTGTTCCCATTCATCTGGCAG